GTCTTAAACTACTATGAGAAGAGCGGAAAACTCACTGTGGTAGGGTATCAATCTTTATTTTTAGAAATATGGTTGTTTCAAATAGAAATGAATAGATTGGTTGTCAGAAAACTTAAGGTTCCACTAACTCTTCCCGGTAATTCACCTAATAATCCATTTACAAGAAGCCATTTTATTTGGAGGAATAGGCAACAGAAACGTCGTCATGAGCTAATTCCATACAATGATTGTTTGTACAGGTCACTTCTTGTAGTATTGGTTGATGAATTGTTTTTTTTTGCTGTATACAGTTTTCTACTTTATGACTCAAACGGAAACTTCAGAACTGTTAGAGGAGATTGCTTACAGCTATTTTTAGGCATATTGACACTCATAACTATATTTTGATTGTGGATACCGACGAGCTTGTTGTTCCCTTGCAGAGTAACAACTGGTCAGAGCTACTTCGAGTTACGATTGGAAATGAAACAAAACATCCTGTAACTTCGATATCTGTCCGAAACGTTTTCAAATTTGTTACAAATTCATCTGATTCTAACGTCCCTGAATATATGTTCATGTTAAGAAATAGACGGATGTCTAAACTTCTCAGCAAACCTAATGAATATGGCAAAAGTTTCACAAGGTAAGTTAGTAAAGAGATTGCTAAAAACTCATTTGAACTTGAGAAATTGGCAAGCGTTGCGTTAATCAATAGTCTAGAAACTCTGCACCTTTTTTTAAACTGCTTGAGTTGTTCTTCAAAAGTTTGTAGTATGCCTCGCTCCATCTTAATCGACATATGGAATGCCTTCATCCACAAATTTCGCTCTGACAGTGAGTGAGTCTTAGATGCGTTAGAATTATTATGAAAAATAACAGCGTTATTAATCCATTGATTAACAGTATACTTCATTTCAGTACGGATACCGTGGCAACCGTATTCAATCATTTTGCTCTTCACCGACAATACGGCAATGTTTCAAGGACGATTCATGCACATCCAGACGTAGCACTAAAACTTCATTACAAAATTACATGCCCGATAGAATCACGAAAGCAGTGTTTTCTTTACCAGAACGAGACTGTTGATGATAAAAGTCTGGACAGGTTTGCAGATGATCTTATAACACGGGTTACGCGTGTGCTAAATTTACTGAAATTGAAGTAATTAGCATTGTTTTAAACAAGTTAATTTCGGCAAAGAAGTTCATAAATAAACAGTCAGAGCAGCTGCTGTATTAATGAAGGAAATATGTCTAACAAAAGAATAGTTGATGGTCATTGTAACTTGGTCGTTTAATAGAATTAGGTCATATATTAATTTGAAGTGCGCCTTCATATAATGCCAAGAAGATTCTGATGAGGGAATCATTAAAACAGAGTTCAAATTACCATATAACCTGCTTTCGGTAACCCATTTTTATATTAACTGCATTTGTATTTAACATTGTTCAAAGTCAGAAAACTTTTGCCAGACATTGCCTCTTTCTTTTACGGTTATGTTTTTATAAGTTGATTTGGTGCTGTTTGATGGACCGAAGTTGTCTGTAAAGTTCTGCCGGTTCGTGTACTTTTCTACAAAAATTATTTTTTTACAAATCTCCAATAAAATTTTCTTTTCTGCTTTGTCTTTATCGAAATTTTCTTAGCGTTATATGAATTCGTTGTAAACAGGCTGACCAGTACGAGCAGTTTTACCGACCGTGTGCTCGGTATAAAAATTGTGATCTCTGGTCAAGAATAAGATGGAACATAAAAAAACTGACAGTATATTTTTATAAGACCCCATACCTCTTTAAAACTTGACTAGCGGGAAGTATGGTTTTGAATAGATGTAATCTGTTATTTTTAAAACGTAAAAGAAATAGTCACTGAGGATTCAGGTACAAATTTCATCACCCTAAAGAACTAAAATTTATTGTTTTTTCAAAGCTAGGATTGGACACTACCGATTAAAGTGATGACTTTTACAGCTCATAAAGGTGAGAGGAGCGAAAGATTGTGCAGAAAGTGTATCAAGCTAAAATTTAAAGGTCTTTCAATTTTGGCAAGGGTGTAACACCGCGACGGACCATATTATTTTTGGTTGTTTTCCTGGTCTTGTGAACTTGAGGCCTAATTCTTAACTGAGAAAATTTAGCCACAATTTCTGACTATCTTCACGTCATACATTGACTCATCCCTGTTTGGAGGAACAGCACGAGAACTTTGTCATTAAAATGATACTTCTATCATTAACCTTTTCCTTTCTAAAAATCTGGAAAGCTAACACCAGTATTATAACCTCACCAGAACTAATTTCATTTTCGCTTTAAATCCACGAAGAGGATGTGGTGATACATTAGAACCAAGCCTCAAAAGCGCCGTATTAAAAAGCATCAAAACTTTCAATATGTGCAACTTCGTTCCTGTTCGACACTTCTTTTGGAGCAGAAGAGAACTTTTCCTTACTTTTGGGCGTAGAGTTCTTGTCAAAATCCCTTTTAGAAAGTATAGTTAGGGCAAGAATTTTGTTCCCGTCATAGAGCTGAAATGATTCTTGGTAGAACTAACCATTCAGGCGATTACAATCAGCACTTTGACTTTGCTGAGACGATGGAAAATCAAAGAACAAGTATTGATAACAAGAAGACACAGCAAAACTCTCCAAATCTTTCAGTTCCAGAATTCTCGAATTTCCGTTAAAACTGTCTGAATTATCTTTCACCTTTTTTTTTTACACTTATAACGGAAGTTAATTCAGACTTTACCGGATACCGCAGGAAAGGAGAGTTTGGGAAATATCCAGTTGTTTTTGCTTCTCAGAATAGTTTCAGCAGTGAATCAGACTGCCATTGGGGAAGATCTGTAAATAAAAATAAGCGATCTGACAGAACGTGAAAACGATAAAGCAGAAAGGAAAAATTACAGATTAATTTAAATCTGCCTTCCACTCCACGAAATAAAATTTTCAATATTAATGAGTAATTAGAGATAGGTATTAATAGATATAGTGTACTGAAACGTAGCTAAAGCTATCCTCCTCTAAGCACTTTGTGGCACACGAAATGTGTAATTCCCGAACAACGACAAGCTAGCAGACTTGCTGCAGCGCACCATTCACTTTACAGGAAATTACCGTCTTCTGACGGAAAATGTGAAACCGAAATGACCTGAAGAACCCAAACTGTTTTGGGGAAAATCGTTACCAAGGACAGAACTTACGAAAGATGATATTAATTTGAAAGTTTTTGGATTGATAATTTGCCCGTTCAATCGAATTCTTGTAGCCTACTGAAAAAAGTTTATATAAAAAGAACAGATCTTGAAGGAAGCTAACCACCTGTTTTTTCAGAGCCCTTGTGATTGTTTTTATTCACGTTTGCAGTGTTCGCTTTGTCCATTCTCTTCCACTATTTTTTACGTCTATTATCAAAAATCGCAGAATCGCTGATCTTATTTCCAATTTGACAACAGACTACAAATGGAGTGAGACCTGCATTTAAATCGGTACTACGAATTTGACAAGACGAGATGCAGAAGGCCGTCGGGTTATACCTAAGCTATTTTGGGCGGGAAGATATCCGAGAGAAAGGGCGAGCTGAGCGGAAGTTTACGGAAAACGATATTGGACTAAACGTCATTTATACAGTTTCGGTAGTGGGCTGGTTGACAACTGCGGGATAAGTGTTGGCAGGAGTTTTCTTTCTCGCTGTCCTGTTGCTGATTTTTTTTTTGGCGTTTGCTTGCAGAAATGGAAGACGATGCAGCGGTGGATAAAGAAACTCGTCTCCAACCGAAACTTGTTAAAGTTAGTGTTATAATCTTCTTTTTTAAAATGAATATTTGTGTAATTTTCGGCAGAAAGTGGTTAGAGTTCACAGCTAGCAAGTTTAAGAAAGAGTGCCGAGAAGAATTATTACATCCAAATTTTTGTGACAATTTGTATTCGCTTCCTGAAGACCTCAAAGTCGACTGGCTTTCATATTTGCATGCTGAAAATCTTGCTCGTATAGCAGATGCGGTAAGCAGTTTCACGTTCAATAAAACTAATTTGTTTCTCTTCTCATCCCTGCTGCTCTTCTGGGCAAAATTATTTTTAGAAAGAATTCAGTAAACTTTTTTCGACTGAATCAACCACTCAGTTTATTTTTACGGTATGTATTCGGTTAAGGTTACCGCAGGAAGTCAAATATTCCGCTGCTCTAATTTTTGAAACGTATGATTATGGTTGGTTGAAAACGTTAAGTCACTTTTACTTTTCAAACCTATATTAAACGTCGTATGAAACGCGAAGGTTTACAGGTTTATGGCGGAACATGTGGAGGAGCTTTATGCACTTGTTTATAAAACAAATTATTCGGAAAGGAAGAAGTATTACGAATGGGAACGGGTCGAAACTACGGTTTCAAGGCATATAACACTTCGAATTCTTTCTGCTATTCAAGTAGCTTCAAAGTTGCACAATTATCACGAGGTCATTTACGTTCATTGTTTTTTCTAATTCTTTTTTCGGTCTAGCAGAAATGCAGTCAGTGAATTTTTTGTAGAGCTTATCACGAAAAGCGGTTCAAATGTGTTTGAAATCTATAGGTTATGCTTACACTGAAGACACCGTGATGCTTTCTGAACTTCGCTTATTAACCTCACTAGACTGGAATCTGCATTACCGCTGTACTCCGCTTGTATATGCAGAAACATTACTCAAAATGCTTGGTCAGTAATCGCTAATTGATTTTTTTTGAAAAGTCTTGAAAAAACTAATTTTTTAGTTACGAGGTGGAATAGGAAATTAAACACAAGCGATTACTGGCAGTACGTATTACTTGTTCTAGATTGTGTTTTCTTGTTCTGGAATGACGTTTATAAAAGGATGTTGTCTAATGTGCTTCGTGTACCTGCAGAAACCATTCATAGGTATGTACGCAGCTTTATAAAGATCTGACTTGAGTTCTTACCGTAAAGGAAGTCAAAAAGAAGATTGGCTTTTGAAAAAAATATGTTCTGTGTCTCTCATTTCGCACATTATTTTCCTAGAAGACTTAATACAGGCAACTCGGAGACCAAAGTTTGAAAAAAATAGTAGCACTTTCCAACTTCTCTCTGAATAAATCCACCATTGTCTCTATAGAACCCTACGCTTATTCTTAAGAAGTTCATCTTTGAAAAGTTGTTTAGGTCCAAAAGTTGCTTAGTTGTTGAGATAATCTATTTTTAGACATCAGTACTGCAGGGTTGAGGCTGATTGGGTTTTACTAAGTGCTGGAGTTATCGCAACGGCCGCTAGCTGCTCTGAAGGCATGGAAGTTGCAGATAAAGTACCTTTTTTTTGAGCAGAAACTAATGTTTTACAAAGAAATTTCTTTGCTTATTTTTATGAAAAATTATTTTCAATTTCTCTTTAGTGTTTTAGTTATTATTAAATTTAGTCATTATTGCGAATTATGAAGCGTTCAAATTCAGGTTATTGTTCAGTTAGAAAAAATATGCGGTACACCATTAACTGACATAACAGATATGTGTGTCGCTATTATGGAGAGCATATTGGACCGTGAAAAAAAAAATTGTCTTTCCGAATCTGTTTCTTCTGATGTTGCTATTCCTGCTGCTTTTCTTCAAATTTGACGTTTGAGTGTTAATTTTCTTTTTCTGTGTTTAATTTACAAACTTTTATATTTTAGGAATTAATTGTTTTCATTTCCGACCTATAATGCTTCGTAATTTTTAAGCTAAACACGGCATCGCGTACTTGTTATTAATGCTCTTCCAAATTCCAGTATTTACAGTGGTTCACTCGGGGCTGTTCAAGATGCTTTTTTTTTTAAAATAATACTTTGAAAAAAAGTAGACTCAGTTTTCTCAATTTCTGAATGAATGTTTTCTAAATGTATAGTGTCCTTTGCAGGTAGATGAACTACACTGCAAAGTTTATGTTCTTTGTTCCAGTTACTACCGTCTATGCAGTTGATTGGGTGCATCTGAATGTCTGTAAATGATTTAGTTTAATACCGATATAAAATTGAGGTTCTGCGTGCCTAATGCAACCTGAATGATCTAGAATGCACTGTTGAGAAACAATACATTAATAAAGCTTCACGGCACATTTGCTGGTTTTTTCGTGTTACTTTTTTCCTTCACAGTAGTTTTTTTGCTAAGTGCCTTTATTTCTTTTGTGATTATTGCTGTGAGGGATGAGCTTTGTGATTGCTCTTGGATGGTATTACTCAGAAAAAATGGAGAAGCGATTTTTGTCTTTGAGGAGCTGTGTTTTGCGACGCGCGATCGCCGTAGTTCAGCTGAGTAATTCAACGTGCTTCGGAAACAGCTATCAAATCAGCTTTGTTTTTGGTCTTATCTCAATTCAAAAAATTAGAAAATAAAATACAGTTGTGCACTTGAAATCATTTTTTCCAAAAGTAGTTTGAAAAGATAAGGAATGGTGACGCATACTTTGCACTTTGGCAGCTGAAGATGGACAAATTTAGCGGGTTTTTTAGTTCACTGTAGTTTATTTATAATTTTTTTTTTAAATTTTTTTCGGATTCTGGGTTGATGGGCGGAAAAGTTTATATTTTCGGTAGTGGCAAATCACGGGTTCGATGTACTCAGTGATGAAATTTAGTTCTAGCTCATGACGTGTGTGAAATTCAGCTGTTATCAAAGAAATGATGTCGTTTTGGGGAGTCTAGCGAGTAAGTCTGCTTTTTAAAGACTGGTACTTCTCTTTACTCTCTAAAACAGCTGGGGCATTCAAAAAAGCTCGATAGTTCGTTAATGCTTCTTACTTTGTGTCACGTGCAGTGCTGGTGCGGTGCTGTAAACAAGAAAATCGTCCTAGGAATGAGAATACCGCTCGTTTTTTTTTGGAATTTATCGGAATCTGAGTAGCTAAGCGTTTAAGAGACTTTATATAATTTCTGCTGGAGATTTTACTTAGATTATTCTGGTAATTCAAATTTAAAAGCGTGTGGCACTTTTGTAGAATTTGTTGCACATAGCATCTGCAGTGAACTTTGGTCGGACCAGCCTTTCCCACTTTTGTGCTTTTTCGATTTTGTGAGCTGGATGGCTATGGAAATCAGCGTTTTTAGAAAGGTGAAGAGGTTATAAACGGTTTTGAGGTGAGTACAGATGGCTTCCGACTAAAACAAGTAGTATAAATTTTACCTTGCTTTGGTGCGTATAAACTGTAAGCCATTTGACTGGGTCGATGAATTTTTGTGAATTCTTTCAATAATCTGTAGGACTGCTTTCTTATGCTAGGTTTATTAAGTTAAAATGAAGTTACTTGCGCTTTTAAGCAAATTAATTTTGAAAACGACATAATTTTAATTAAAACGGAATTTGTATATTAAAATAAAGATTGCCGTTGTCAACATCGGATCACTGACAACGTAGGAAGAGTTTCGTTCTATCCCCAGAAGTGATCATTTATAAGAATGGACAAATTTACAATTGACGTTTTCAGTTTGGTTGTTTATTGTACGGCGCTTTAATTTTAAATAAGCGTCAGACCTATAAAGAAGGACATAAATGTACAAAAGGAGGAATAATCAAACAGTGTGGTAGATGTTACTGTTTAGATTATTCTGCTCTTCCTTTTATCCATCATTATGACTCAACAAAATTAGTCTATTTCTGGTCACTGGCATTAGTCAACAGTTTTCTGACTTTTTGTTAACAATTTAAGGGTTTTTTGGTTCTTCTGCAACTGTTTAATTTTACAGCGAGGCGATTTAGTGGGTTACTTTTTCTGCGACACCACAAATGTTGAATTTTTATAGAATATAAATTGAAATTAGAAATGCCGAAAATTTTTTGAAAATTTTTATCCTGTAGATAACGGGATTCACAATTGTTTTAGGAAAGAAGCCACATGTTGATTAAAGTTAAAAAACAATTTTTTATCGTTTTTTAAGTCAGTAACTGTACTTTAAATGTTGTAGTTACTCCTTACATAAGTAACCTCTGAAATCTACTGTTTACGATATATTACTCAAAATATCTTTTAGACGTAATATAGCTGTAACCTGATATTTCCATAAAACTTGGTGTTTTTTTTTAAGCTTAGTGTGGTTTTGAACATGGTTTGTTAAAGTTGTTAAACTGAACTCGATTTGAAACTTTTTTAATGTTTTTTTTCTAAAAGGGTCAAAAAATCCATAAAAATTTTATCAAAACTATGGGAAACTGAGTTTATTGATGGGGCAATAATTTTTTTGGATTGTTTACAGTGAAGAATTTGTAATAAAAATTCTTTAAACATAAGGTTGCAAGCTTAAATGTGGAATGAATTAGTTTCTTCATTGAAGTGTAAAGTAAAGCTAACAACGTTATTGTCTCTAAAATAACGGCAATGTTGCGATATGACAACACAGTACAAAACGCATTTATATGGATTTGAAGAGGATGGCTTTTGCCGCTAATGGTACGTCTCATTTTCGACTTGTTTACTTTAGAATAATTTATGAGGGATAAAAAGTTTTATTTTTTACCGAATACAGTATTTTTATAAATTAATATTTCAAGTCCTCTTTGATTTTAGTTAATCAGTCTTTCGTTGTATGTATATTACTCACTGGAACTGTAATCAATTTTCTAAGCTTTTCAGCAGCTTTTATTATACAGTGTTTTTGATAGTCTTAGTTATGTATTTAATCTTATCGGAAAATTAAACTCTAATTTTTGCGGAGTTGAAAGTTTTTGCAGGGGGTTACAGGCTGTCGCTCGAAAGGATTCAGTTTATACATCAATTTTTACATTTACAACAAAAAATTTTTTATTGGATAGGAAGATTTAGCTGTATCATAGTTTATGAGAAGCTCTTGGCTTTGTTTTAGAACAAATTTTAATTTTTTAAACATATTTTTCAATAAGAGAGGGAAGTTTAAAAATATTTTAAGATTTAATTTTTAAAGCTTAACTTTTTTGACTTTTATAAATCGATAATAAATAAGGTGAAGCTTTTTTTCAATTAACTAATTACAGGTAAGATTTGGGAAGTGGAAAGAAACTGCTGGTTCAAAAAATGCTTTTGAATAGAAAGAAATTATGGCTTTAATGGGTTTTCACAGTGTGACGTAAGCTTTACTTTCAGTGTTACCGGTTGCAGTGCTAAACTGTGTAAAGTTTTACTGTTATTTCTTGAGTCTTTTTCGTAAAATAGGTTATATAGTTTAGTCGTCTAGGGTTTCCTCTTTAAATTGTAATAAACTTGGATTTTACTCATTTTTCAGCACGTTTAAACTTCAGCACATTTTTCAGACATTTAAACTTTATGAATAAACTTTGTAAGGTCGTCACCTTCAAAAATATTTTCATAATATAGAATTTATACATGTAATTTTTTTGAAAATTAAAACTATTAGCGACGTTCAGATACGATCAGTGCTCGTGTTGCAGAGTTTAGAAGGAAATTAGCATGGCTTGACGTTAACAGTCTTTGCAGAATCCAAAGCAAAGTTGCTGTCAATTTAAGATTTTTCCTGGAGCCTCCACGGCATAACTAAATCTACCATAGCCTTGTCAGCGCAGAAAACAAATCTTATTTATTCAAACTTCTTCTTCAGCTATGAATATGAAACTTTTGATGTTGACTGCTTAATTTAGCTGCTGTAGCCGAAAAAAAAAGTTTTAGTCATGCTGGATCGGAGTGTATAGTATTGATGAAGGGAAAAAGCTTAAATAAATTGACAAAAGTCTATTCGATTACACAAACTGGTGAAAAGGTATATTCTGTTCTAAGTAATGCAAAATAAGAATTGTTATCGTAATCTAACTGGCTGTGCAGTAACACTCTGTAATTGTAGGTGAACCGCTATCAGTCACCAAGGCAACCACAGTTTATTTGTCGCCACAGTCTCGTTTCCAACAGGTTACAATCATCAAATTCACTAAAAACTACTGTTTTTATCTGTGAAAAACTCTTTGATGTTTATTATAATTGGCATCGAAACAGAGAATGTTCAAGAATGTTTTGACTGTAGAGCAGAATTAAACAGAAGAAAAAGGACGTCGAAGTGTTTTAAATGAGTAGGAACAAGCTTGTTTATCAGTAAGAAGAAATTTGAATTGTAATTAAAATAGACGTCTACATTTTAAAATCACTTCTTTCTTGATTTAACTTAACTTTTCAGAAGCAGACAGGTTTAAGAACTTAACTCAACACAACTTTTAGGATTCTTTAACAGATCCAGTCACAACAAAAACCTTAAACCAGCTATTGATTTTTGATCTTCTTTCGATTCAGGAACCACTATTAGATTTCTTCAGACAACCAATAAATTGATTACAGCATGTGTTACAGTGTTTTTTTACTCAATTGACATCACTGAAACAGAAATCGCAGTTGATCTTAGGAAATCTGAAGCGCTTGACAGCAGAAACACTAATATCGCATTAGAAGAAGCTACAGTTATTGAAATCACTGAGTCAGGTGAGATATTAATTAGACTAATGTTTTCACGCAGCTTTTTGTTGCAAAAAAACGATTTTATAGCAGTTTTTACACTTATAAATTATATGTTACCTGGATTTACCCGGTATTCTTTAAAATCAACTAATTTACTTTGACTGATATAGCAAAATAATCGTAAAGAATTCTGCTTATTTTTTTTTTGAATAGTCGTCTTTCTTTGCTATTTTTAGCGCGAGATTTAGTTTCAAGACAGAAAATTATATAATTCGCTGCTCTGAAGTAGTGCGGAAACAC